AATCCAAAACAATCCAGTGGCACCTTTAAGACCAAGTTTTATTCAGGTACAAGCTCTCCCTCCTCTGCGAGGACAGATCTGCATGCCCCCCCCCAATAGCTAGCAATCTAAAAGAGTCCAGTGGCGCCTGAGCGGTGGGTGTTGCCTTCTGACACACTTCCAGTGATGTCAGGGGGTGTGGTCTATGCAAATAAGTTATGCTAATGAGGTATGCTAATGAGCTCCTGCACCTCTTTTTCTACGAAATGACCCCTGGTTGTGAGCGAGCGGTTTGGCTGCTGCATCAGTTAGTTTGCTCTGGAGCCCTCCCTCCTGAGCTAAGACAAAAATGTGTGAGCCGGAGGCTAAAAAACTGTGAACTAGCTCACACTAACTCGGCTTAGAGGGAACACTTCCGGTGATGTCAGGGGGCGTGGCCTATGCAAATGAGTTATGCAAATGAGTTATGCTAATGAGCCCCTGCACCTCTTTTTCTACGAAATGACCCCTGGCCGGGACCATCTGGGCCATGCAGGGCAGGGCACCCCAAAAGTGTTACACACTCTCTCCTTCTGACCTGTTGTTGACATGCGTCCTGAGTACAGAAACGCAAAGAGCCCGAGGCAAAGGCAGGGCACCGGAACAGGTGACCTCACCTGACATCAGCACAGCAAAAACAGGCCACTGTGCCATGTCCTCAGCGCCGGGGAGGGGTGTGGTCTGTGTATTTACTCTCAACCTCCACAACACTGTCACTTGGCAGATGTTCTGGGCACAGGGGAACTGTTTTCCTTTCTACTGTTTGCTCAACGACGTCGGTCACCGTGGTGGTCTGAAAGGGAAAGACACACACACCCCTTTCCAAAGTCTTCCAGTTTGCGAAGAGGTCCCCTCTCCTGCCTGGAAGAGTTACTGACTTGGCCCGAACTCTCAGGGGAGGAGCTGCACACAATCGTGATGCGAGCGGAAGACTGCATTTCCCCAGACCAGAAGAAATGCTTATGTTTCTGCTAATTCTGCGTTATTTGTCCTGCAAAACGAAG